GGGTAACGGGTGTGATTATATTTTTTAAAAAAAGATAAAGGTGAGATAGATGTTAATGCGATGTAAAAGATTTGACAAAAGTTGTTTCCGACGGAAAATGTCCGTCGGAAACCAATTTAATTTTTTTTTAAAATTACAATGTTCATTAAATTTTAATTTTTCTGTACGTTATTTGGTAAAACTTTTTTTTAAAAAATATTTTCGGCGGGCAAAGTCTGTCGAAAACTCTTTTTTACAATTATTTTTAAAATTTAAAATACTGTTTAAATTTTAAAAAGGTATTTCCGAGGGATAATATCTGTCGGAAATTTTATCTAAATTTTTTTAAATTAAAAATTAATGTAAAAAGTTTTTTTAAATTTTTTTGTCTAAAATTATTTTTAAATTTTCTAACAAAAAATGACTGTCAGAAATATTATTATTTAAAAAAAATTAATTTTTTTTGTTTCTAACGGACTTTTTGTTAGAAAGTCCGTCGAAAATCCAACCAAAAGTTGTCCGTCGGAAAAAATCCATCGGAAATTAGCGTATTTCTTGTAGTGTCAGATTGGTTCATAAATAGAATAACTAGTTCAATGCAATAATAGCCTAGTTTAATGCGTTAAACAACCGGTTCTGTAAGTTATAAAACCAATTCAGTGCATATCTAGTTGATTAAGGCCAGTTCAGTGCTTTATAAACTAATTCAAGGCTAATTTAACCTTCTAATGGCCGGTTTAGTCTTCTAATGACCAATTCAAGGTTAGTTTAGCACTTTAATTGATGATTTTGAAGTTTGACATAAAAGTTTTATGTTTTATAAGACTAGTTCAATACTTTAGTACTCGGTTTATAACTTATTTGACTAGTTTGGGACTTAGTAGTCTGGATATGTGCTTGGGCACAAAAATTTAGAATTCTACTCGGGTTTTTAATTAAAAAATTATAATTATTTGATTCTAGATGCATTAGCAATCGAAAAGTAAGATATTTTATTGTTTTTATAATTTTAGATTATTTGTATGGTTCTCGATGAGCTTGTGTCATTACCGATCGGATTTCTTAATATTCGTCAATTTTGTGAGTACTAACATGCATTTATGAGCATTTATTATTTTTAATATCTTCTATAAATTCTGATTTTATATAATAAACTTGATTTATGAAAAATTAAATGAAATTGTTATAAATGCTTAACAAGGGACATATATGTAAATTTTGAAATTGTTTTGGAAAGATTATTTCTTATATGTTTGATTCTATCTATAAATGAAAAATCCAGTTAAAAATGTTTCAGTTTATTTCTCAAAAAAATATTTTAAGAGAGTTTCGGATTTTTAGAATATTATAACTAACAGCAGTAAGCATTATACTGAATGAATTCTAACATGTATACCTATCTAGCAGAGATAGTGCTAAATTCTTATGTTGGGCCAACATAGGTGACCTACATATCTAATATATGAAAGACTAAGATGTCGCCATCCTAGTTTCTAATTTTTGATACGTTTTATTTGTTGAACTCCCTAAATTTGGATAATTGATAAAAAAATATGTTTTCTGTAAACTATCTATTATATCTACTATACTTTTGTCCCTTATTCTCATCGATGCATGTTGTTATTTTTCTAGATCTGTCAGCTCACCCCTTATATTTTTTTAAGATTCAAAGCTTGATATCATTTAGATTTGACTATGATGAGAGGAGTTCGTTGCCTCGCTGCGTTTTCTTTCTTGATTATATAAGTTAGTCATTTGATTTTCAGTTTCAATTGAAATTTTGTATTCTCGGGTTTTCATAGTTTGACTCCATTTAATTATAGACAGATTTCTAATGTACAAATGTTTGGGTTAAGATTTGAATTTAATTTTTCTTTTTCTGATTTTATATAGTATTTTGGTTTAGTTAAAAATATGAGTTGCCTGTTAAACTTATATAGTTGGAATTTATTATAATCCTAGCGCTGATCATTGATCCAATATTCCAGGCCATGACATACTAAGACCACATCGCAAGAGGTCACCGGCATGTCAATAATATTAAATAATTAAGTTTATTGGCATATAGCTGAAACGGAACTAATCAATAATATAACTTATTATATATGTATTTGAGAAATGCTTAAACTCACTCTTTTTTTTTGGGGGGGGGGGGGGGTAACAATCGGGGCTATTGCCCAAGGAAGAAAACAAACCAAAATTAACCTAAGGGAGTACAAACTCCCAATGACTCACGGAAGCGTTGATTTCTCAGTAAAGTGAGGGGTAAGCCCAATCCTTTAACCCAAACTCATGAGATAAATTTAACTTGGCCATCTTGTCAGCTACGTTATTTATTCCTCTGACCACAAAATTGACTTTAACTGATCAATCTTTCTAAATAAGAGATTTGATTTTGAGAGAAGTTGGTATCCACGTAAATTGAGAGGGATATTTACCATGAAGTATGTCCATCAAAGACTTGGAATCAACCTCAATGATGACTTTCCTGCATCCTGAATGCCACGCCAAATTAAGACCCTCAAAAACTCTCTAGACTTCTACTTCCAACACTCATGTTCAACCCAATTTCCTGGAAAACCATCTAATCCAAGAGTCCTCATGATATTTGAAGAGCCCCCCACAACTTGCCAAACGATTGCCTAAATGCAATGTCTCATCTGTGTTAAGTTTGGCCCACCCTCAATTTGAGGGTGACCAAATAGCATGACCTCTTGTGTGTGTGTGTGTGTGTGTTAAAGGCGGCCTTGATGGTTGAGGGTTTGAATTTCAGTCATTATATTTTTCTCATCTCAACGCTTTGTACTCTTCCGTATTATAAAAAAAATGACAATTGTAATTACAAAACATAACATTCAATTGAAACATATCATTGCAAACTTGGCTGTATAACTTATATAAGTGAGTGTTTGATACAATGCCAAATTTAAAATAAAAAAAGGCAACGGGTTGGAATAGAAAAAATATAATAATTGAGAACAACTCCTTAAAATCTCTTACACTTAGAATCACCAAAGCAACCGGCCATTGACTTTGTAATTACAATTCCCTATTATATATTCTATCATTCTAACTTCTTGGGCCAATGGCCAGACCCAAACGTCGACCAACTGGGCCGAAACGACGGAATCTGGTGAACAGGGCCGGAAAAGACCAACCAAAAATAGGTAAAGCATCGCTGCCCGATTCCGAAAAGGAGAGAGCGATTCCTGATACAAAATGACGGCGAAGCACTGTAGCCACGACGTCAAATCTAAAATAGCCAACGGAAAAACACAAACCAAAAAAGGCCACCAGCTAATTTTATATATATGTGTGTGTGTGTGTGTGTGTGTGTGCAAATTTGAACAGAGCAATGACATTAGCCGGCAAACATCATTTGAGATGGAGAGACTGAATGTAACAATTATTAGGAGGGTCTCAGGATTTGATCAGGACAAAAAAAAAAAAAAAAACATTTATAACTTAACTCGTTTAGAAAAAAATATACCTGCTGATCGTTGGTGTCCTCCGGTTTGGAGGTTCATCAAGATTAATGCTGATGCTGGGAGAAGAAGTAATTTGTTAGTGGTTGGATTACAAGTCAACGCCTTGTAAATATTGTGAAAATGATCACACGCCATGGAGGCCGAGGTAAAAAGGTAAAATAAGAAATAAATAGTAAAAAAACCGGGGTCAATGCAAAATCTTGTTACGCACCCGCCAAGGAAGAAAAGCGAAAGAAAGTCGGATTAGCATTTGTTCACGTGAAAGTGGAAAGTCGGATTAGCATTTGTTCACGTGAAAGTGGCATCAAACAAATTCCACTACGTTGAATAATAATAGCAGAATTTGTTTGGCCATTTATAGGCTGTCTGACTCAGTCATTTTTTCATATTGATATTGATAATTTTTTTTTTAATTTATCTAAATATGATGCTTTAAATTATGTAGCGAGATGTAATTTCTTTTATTATAAAATGGCGGAACTGATTTTTTAATAGTTCAAAAAATATCATGTTTTAATAAATAATTTTAAAAATTGCATTTTAATAAAGAAAAAAATTTATCAACACTAATATATATATATATATATATATAACCGACTCAGGTCGCTAAATTTTTTAAGCCATCATCTGTAGAGTCACGGATTCCAGGTAAACTGAATTATGAGTGGGTATTGCACGACGGATGTATTTTTCTGAGAAGATTATAGTGAATTTTCGTTAAGTGGTACACTAGACAGATTAGATTGACAGTGATGTGACACATGTTAAATGTCTAAAAATAAAAAAGAACAAACAGGAAGAAAGGGAAAGTTTTGACAGTGGTGATCGTGCAGAAGAAAAGTTAAAAGATCATCCATTTGCGTGACGAACTCCGCCTCTCCCTCAAAGCCAATGGCGTAATAATGTATTAAAGAATATGTATAGGTTACGTTTGTGGTTCAAATTACTTCCGTGGGATTGATATATAAAAAATCAAAAAACTCTTCTGTAGCGCCATTAGCAGCCATGGATCTGCTTCTCCCAACCTTAAACTCACCAGCCATAGCTGGGCTAGTCTTTGCTTTGCTTCTAGCTCTATACTACCTATTATGGAGGTCTATAAAACCTAAATCTAAATCACCACCGGAAGCTGGTGGTGCATGGCCCATAATAGGCCACCTTCACCTCCTGCGAGGCTCTTAGCTCCCCCATATAACCTTAGGAGCCATGGCCGATAAGTTCGGGCCCATATTCACCTTCCGGATCGGGTTGCACCAGTCCGTGGTTGTCAGCAGCTGGGACATAGCAAAGAAGTGCTTCACCCACCCACGACTCGGCCGTGTCATCGCGTCCGAAGTTTGCAGCCGCCAAACACCTTGGCGACGACTACGCTATGTTCGGGTTTTCCCCGTGCGGCCCGTATTGGCGTGACCTACGCAAGCTGGTCATGATCGAGCTGCTCGCGCCACGCCAGCTCGAGTTGCTCAGGATTGTGCGACTTTCGGAGACCGAGAACGCCGTGAAAGAGCTTTACAAGCTGTGGGTAGAGAGGAAGGACGCCTCTGGACGAGTTTTGGTGGAAATGAAGCAGTGGTTCGCCGACTTGACTCTAAACGTAGTTGTCAGAATTATTGCCGGAAAAAGGTAAAATTGGTATATGAGCTCTCATCTCTGTATTGTTCTCAAACGTCAGTTAAAAATAATTATACAAAAATTTAGGTTAAATCTGATTTGTTAGTTTCTAAAAAATTTAAATTAATTATCATATTAGTCACTTAAATTAAAAATATAATATCTTGATCTCTCAATTTCAATATAAGTTTATTTATATTCCCTTAAGCTACACTCTATCCAGTTTCTGGTCACTTTAAATTGAAGTGTAGTCACTAGTGTGTCACGTATATATTCAGTAAGAACAATTTTGTTATTAAAGAAATACAGTAGAAGATTAAATGTTGTAATTCATAGTTCAAATTCTTAAACACCGTGAGGGAAGAAATAATTTGGTCTCTGTGCTGGTGCTAGAATGTCGTAGGAAGAGAGTACTCTTATTGTTCTTGTTCATCGTGTGCTGCGATCCTTCTTCTTCTTCTTCTTATGATTTTCCTCTTATTTTGATTTTTTATTTTTATTTTATTTTATCATTTTTATATTGTTTTTCCTTTTGTTGTAATGTTCATTTATCGTGAGATGCGAGAGAGAAAAACAATTCAAAATCAATTGAGTTTAATAACAAATGTAGTATCGAGGTGAAATTACTTATCTCTCTGTGTTATTCAATAATCCAAAATTTGCATCATAACCTTTGATCTTTTGTTCTTTATTTACGGTAAAATTGCTTTCACTAAATATTATACATAACACATACATGACAAAGTCAAAAATTAACTAAAAATGACTTGAAGGATTACATTAGAATTTATATTAAATTTAAAAGACAGTTGTGTCAAATTTTCAAAGTTAAAGATTAATATAATGCCTAAATTAAACTTAAAATTCCTATAATCAAATTTACCCTACCAACTTACTTTAGATTTTATTTTAGTAAAGTGAATATTAAATGACAAAAATGCTATTTTCACGGAGTTTATGATAGGACTATGGGTAGTAATGTTTTAATAACTGGGAAAAATTTTTCTTCCCTTTTGTTTTTATGAATGGGCAATTTACCAAAAGGAGTTTCGCTTTCCCTTGAAGCCAATACATTCCACACTTCTCAATCCCCGTCTTGTTTATAAGAGGTACTTCGGCAGCGGCGCTGATCCCAGTGATGAGAAGGAAGCCCAGCAATGCCAGAGAGCATTCAGGAAAATTTTTCATCATTTCGGGGTGATTCCAGTATCGGACGCTATTCCATTTCTGGGTGGGCTGGACTTTGGGGGTGTGGAGAAGGCCATGAAGGAGACCACGAAGGAAATAGACAGCATTATGGAGGGGTGGTTAGAAGATCATGGCGGGAAAAGGGATTCTAGCGAGGTTGACGGCGATCATGACTTCATGACGTCATGTTATCGAAACTTGAAGGCATTGCCCTTGCTGTTATGATGCCGACACCGTCAACAAGGCCACTTGCCTGGTAGATGATTTTCATTATTGACTTTTTGTTTCTTAGTTGATTTGCATAGATCTTGAGAGTATTTTCAAGACAACAAAAGCTCAATGCGTACTCATAAGAATTATAAAATATTTTTAAAAAATAGCCACTCCGACAAAAAAAAAAATGAATTCAATGTTTATATTTAATTCTTTTGAACTGATATAAATAAAATAATTTCTTTTTTTTTGGCAATTTTCTACGATGCAATGGATAAAAACTATACTAATTGAAATATTATATCCAAAAAAACCAAGAATTTAGTTATTTGAACATTGTATTAACAATCTAAAGCCTTCCAAAATGTGGATCTTAGACTGATTTATTCATCTGTATATATATAAATTGATTTTGTGTGTTGTTTAAGTAAGTAAATCATGTATTGATTTTTAGCTGTTAATCATGGTTGTCGTCTTTTGTCTTTTTAAGGTCAACCATGACTGCAAATTTCATAAAATAAAGGTAAAAGTAGAATTTACATTATTATAGGTCCTAATATGCTAATTCAATTTAATAGAAAACCCATAATAATGTGATTATGTAAAACAATCATACTTGTATTAGTTTAAGATTCAAGGTAACTAAAAACTTGTTACTGTTATTAGCACTAAACAAAGAACTATAATTGTCTCGTAAGTTGAAGAATTTTTTATTTGAACAATAAAATTTAAGAAAGTGATCTTCATAAGTTGCCAATTCCTGCTCTGCTATATTCCGCAGAGTTTGATTACCGGGGAGCTGACACTAGCGCAGTGATGCTAACGTGGGCATTCTCACTTCTCCTGAACAATCACCATGTATTAATAAAAGCCTAGGAGGAACTTGATATCCATGTGGGAAAGCAAAGACAAGTGGAAGAATCAGATATTAGCAAACTGGTCTACCTCCAAGCCATTGTAAAAGAGACCCTCCGACTCTACCCAGAAGCAACCTTAGCAGCACCCAGAGAGTTTACAGAGGACTGCCACGTTTACAGCTACTACATTTCAAAAGACACGAGACTGACCTTAAACCTGTGGAATCTCCAGAGGGACCCTGCTGTCTGGCCATCACCAAAAGAGTTCCAACCCGAGAGGTTCCTCACTACCCATAAAAACATCGATGTCAAGGGCCAGAGCTTTGAGCTGATACCATTTGGGGCTAGCCGAAGAGTGTGCCTAGGAGTAAATTTTGGGATGCAAATGTTGCATCTGGTGCTGGCTAGGTTGCTTCACGGGTTCGAGTTCTCGACTCCTACGAATGCCCTAGTGGACATGACAGAGAGTGCCGGACTGACGAACATGAAGACTACCCCACTTGAAGTAGTCGTGGCCCCTCGCTTGGCTGCTACTCTTTATTAATGGAGTACGTCGAATTATTAAATTCAGAAAGTTACGCAAGATATAGGATGACTTGTATATTTTTTCTTTTATATGGGATTTTTTGGAATTTCTTTTTCCTTTTGTCTTTTGTTTTGACATTTGTTTAAGTAGCAAAGTGAGGTTACATGTGTTCGGTTAATTACAAAGTTTTGTGGAAGCCGTTTTTGGTAACCTAATTCTTTGATTTGTGAGGTTTTAAATTTAAAGAATTTTTTGAATTTCTGATTGATGCTCGAAGAAGCAATTTTGGGCTGCTAAGGTCGTGTTAGGACACACTTCTGAGAAGTTTTTATGCACTTTCTAAGACGCATAAGTGTTTGGTTTGCAACTTTTAATTTAAAGTTCAGTTTTTGGAAGCTAAAAAAATAAATAAAAAGTTATTTTCTAAAATTTAATTTTGATTATTTTAGTTTTAGTGACAATATTATAATTAATTAAAAATATTTCAAGATAATTTTGAACAATTTTTTTCTTAAATATTTTATTTAATTTCTAAACCGCCCTCATTTTTACTTCCCTCTTCTTCTCTCTCTCTACCCATCACCGGCAATGGCGTTTGCTACCACCTAGATAACCACTACATGCGACAATGGCGATAGCTACATACAGCAATTCCCAGATAGCTGTTGCAATGACCAGACACAATGGCTCATAGACGGTCACTATGTGTAACTGCCACGATGGTCACATGCAACAACCCTAAATGGTTGCACACAGCGGCTCCCAAATGGCCATTGTGTGCGGCTTGCCATTGCTTGCAGCCATCGCAACAACTAGTGTCGTAGCAGTGACCCCCAAATGGTCGTGCCATGCAGCATCTCTGCCGTGCAACAGCCAAAAGAAAATTGGAAACCTACAAAAAATTAATAAAAAATATCTTTTAGAGGATAAAATTATCATTTTGATTTTAAAATTTTTTTTACCACCATTTCATAAAAGTTATCTCTCAAACATTATTTTACTGATTTCAAAACTTTTTTACAAATTTGCAGACACTCCTCACTTCTAATTAAAATTAATTTTTACTTACTTTTATTTAAATTATTTACTTTTAATTTTACAAAATTTCTCGCAAACGAAAGTTTTACAGTTCTAGCAAAGCAGCAAAAGCACGGGCCATTAAAGAAGTATCATTTTGGGCCGGTAAATTGAAGCTGAAGCAGATTATGGTGGGTGTTTCGCAATAGGAAAAGAAGTCACGGAAAGTTGAAATAATGGTTGATGATTGTTCAGCTTCCATTTTGTCAGGTAGGGTTGAGCATAGTTTAGCACAAATAGTTCTTCAGTAACGAATCCCCAAATAATTTCAGAATGTTATTTTCATTTGATGTAAGAATTTTTGTTTATAAAGAGTAGAAGTGAGCACCATTCAGGTTTTTATATTTTTTTTTCACAAAATTTTGTATTATACCAAATTTTTTTGAATTTTTGATATTAAAATCTAAATTGTATGTTTTGACATCTCTACCATTATTTTCGGTTTCATTTAGTTTCAATTATGATATTTTATCAATTCGAGCAAGTAATGTATAAGTTTAACTATTCTTATCTTTCTATAAATTATTTTAAAATTTTTATAATATTAAATTTTCTAATAAAATTTAGATAATTCATCTAGTTTTTAAGATATCTCAACTTAATATCATTTAAAAAAATTTAATTTCATATCAATTTAATTAAATTAGTCAATTATATATTTTACGAGATGCAACACCATCAGATTGAGATGATTGGGAGGTGTCTTTAGATACATTAAAACTAGAAGGACAAGCAAAATTTTGTGTTGGAAGGAGCCTTCAACGTGGAAGTTCTGTTTGATTGCGTTTGTCAGACACCCGCCAAGGAATAAAACGGAAAGAATCTCGGATTTAGCATTACTGATTATTGTAACAACTTTCGGATTCATTAATTTAGGAAAAAATAATCCTGTTGTTTGTTGGCGTCCTCCTAGAAGGTTCATCAAGATTAATGCTGATGCTGGTTTTATTGGCGGTGGGAGAAGCAGTTTGGAATTACGAAGAAGAAGTTATGGGAATAAAATGCGAGGTGATGGGAAGTTTCAGTTCTAACAAAGCAGGGTAAGCATGGGCCATTACAGAAGCATTATTTTGGGCTGGGAAATGAAGCTAAAGTAGATCATTTATGGTGGTGCATTGATGTTTTGCAGAAGAAAAAAATGATGTCACCGAAAACTGAGATAATGGTTGATGATTGTTCAGCTTCCATTTTGTAGGATAGGGCTG